CTCTACAAGATCGGTCTAGCTATGACAGACACGAAAAAGACTCTAAAGTTGTGACGGACACTGCTAAAAGAAACAACGCACGGAGATCGGATAAAGACATCCTAGCCAAAGCAGAAAAACTAGAGAAGAGGTATACAAATAATCGTGATAAAAAGAAACCTTCAAACGGACGCCCTGGTGGAGAGGCAGCCCCAGGACCCCAGACTACACAACCTTCCAAAAACAAAAACAGTGATAAACCTGCAGTTACCTCTGAACATAACTCTCAGAATCATCAAGGGATTAGTGCTGATTCCCCAAACAAAACTTCTAAAGAAATAGACAAAGGGGGTACAAAGAAAGCTGAATCTCCACACAAACCTAGCAAGACTAATGGAAAAAATATGGGGGAGACTAATCAAAATAAAACTGAGGAAAATGCAAAGCCTTCCAGTCAAGTCTTTAGGGAAAAGGAGAGTGACAAGTCAGCTACGTTGAATGGCAAAAATGACGTAACTAATACAGTTTTAACCCCCGAAGATCAAGTAGGGGAATCAAAGGAAAAAGCAAAAGAACCAAAGATCAATGAGAAAGAATTAGTCTACACTGGGCATTATCGACAAGAGAAGGACAAGCAATACCATGATCTAAATCCTGTCATTGACAGAAAGCAGGACACGAAGGTAAAGGGTAGTAGCAATAACTTACGGAACAGTCAGAATGGCCTCTCCTCTATGTCAAATTCTCAAACAAGATTACCAGCTGGACAGGTGAAACCTCATGATTCACACCTAAATTTAAGTTCGAAGGACGAACCGAAAGACAAAGAAAAGGGAGTGCAGATGAAAGATTCTAACCTTGCAAGTGCCAAAAATAACGTGCGGTCAAATCCAACCAAAGAGCCAGAAAAAGATAACTCTCCACGAAAAACACAAAACAAACCCGCATCTGTTCAACTCTCAACGAAGGAACCGAAAAAGAACCAGGAGCCGAAAGAAGTTCCATCGCCTGCTCTCAAGAAAAATACAGGAGTTGCAGCAAGTTTGTCTCAAGGGGCACGTCCCCTAAACCAACAGTCTTCCTCAGAGAGAAAAGAAACTGGCACCGTTGCCCCTCGTAGTCAAGGCGTAAGCTTTACTCAGAGCGGCCAACCTCGCAAGGTGCCTGTCTCTTCTGACCCGAGAGCAAAAGGAAAAGCGGGAGACCAAAGTCGTGAGACAACTGCAGGTCGAGGAGGGAGGTCAAGCAAAGAGCGAGGGGGACCTCAGAAGAAACCACACGGAAATGCCGCCCTTGCGTCCGCCCTGTTCGACGTCAAAACAGGCCCATCTTGGGATCCTAAGTCGAAAATACCCAAAATGGAAGGCATTGACACTGTGGTCATACAAGGGAAAGATGGGAAAGGTACATGTGTGCTTCATTCCTACTCCGATCTGTTGCTGTTTTCATGTATATAACATTTGTTTCATGATGTCATAGAATCCCTCCCTCCCTATGCGAGGGTTGCATCCTGACAGGGATATTTTTTGTGATGAAATCTTTACTGAATTATTTGCAACAAGAACACATGGGATCATACATTTAATCCTGATTTGACATGTTTATGCGTGTACTATGATGGTTGATTTGAGGAGTAGAAGGATTAAGCACCGGGAGGGAGGGAGGGGGGGGGTAGGAAAATGGTGAAAAGGAAGGAGGGGTGGGCCACGTTTTTTTCTTCCGTAAGCATAGATGTACGTACAGCATACGTATACCTATGACGATACCTATGGCGTTTAATATGTAGACGAATGTATTTCTGACTGTCTGCGATTGTTTTCTGTTGAGCTGTTTATCCATTTTACGAAACGATATTGTTATTCCTCAGCTGCTATGGATACAGAAAAAAATATGGATAAGTTGTAACAGTACCTTGCCTTTTTGTATGAGCATTTTTTATTGTCTGAAAGAATGTTGCTGTCAAAATGTGCGCTCATGATGAATTTGTATGGTGTTAGTATGAATGCGTTTTTAATCTCCTATGTACGCCTTGGGCCCATGTTGTGGGGAAAGGCGGGATACAAATGCTCTTATTATTATTATTATTATTATTATTATTATTAACACAAGTTTTTTCTGACTTCCCTTTCACAGAGACAGCCCATCGGCTCACAGATCCCATCCAGACCAAAATTCACCTCGTGTTGGCAGCAAGATTGACCCCGATACCTACTGGGACACTGCCACCCGGCACCGTCCTAACCAACCATACATTTCAAACCGGCCTAAGACGTGGCGATCTCGTCCTAGACAGAAAACGACAAGAATAAAAAAGCAGCGACACGCCGTTTCCCTCCCCACACACCCCTCAGAAACGTCAGGTACGTCGAGCATGAATGAGGACAAGCTTCCATCAGACGACGAAGTCGATGATGACATATCGCCTGAAATGAACGCGTCAAACGATGGGGAATTCTCGCCAAGAACTTCCGTAGACAGAAAAATCAGTCCCGCTGCTAAAGGGAGCAAAAAACAGCCATGGAACAACAATGTAAATATCGTGCAAAACTCCAAACCTGAGCCGAAAGTGAATTCTCGTCGCTATATCGAGGGCTTGACGTTCAAACCTACTCTGACGTCAAAAGACGATGTATATAACGCTTATATTGGACAAGAAGAATTGGGTGATGGTAATGACTCAGGAATGTCGGGTAGTGAAGAGGAGGAATACATGTCTCCAGCAGAGGACAGCAATTTCTCACGATCTTTAGAGAACTCTCCTCAACGAGGCGAGAAAGGAGAGAGAGTTCTCAACAAGCGAGAAGCGATAAAATATATCAAAATGACAGGCGTGTATGGAAGTGACGCATACAAAAATCAGCGAAAAGAATGGTTCCTTCAAAAATTAGCAAAAGCGCAAGAGGATAAAGCAAAAGACGCAGAGGAACGAAAGAAAATGGAACGTCGAAAACGAGAGGAGAACAAGGAAAGACAGCAACGTCAGCTGAAAGAAGTGAGGCAAAGGTTCAGACAGGAGCAAGTTCACAGGTTCCGCACTCAGTATGTGACGTCTCGGGTACTCGAGCACGAGCACGCCAACAGATATCAGTACGGTTTACCTGAGGATTATGAAGATGGCTTTAGAAAAGAAAGCAATCAATCTGAGTTCGATCAGAGCAAAGGGGGTAAAGAAGAAACGTCTTCCAAATCGAAATCTACCGATAAGAGCAAAAGTCCAGGCCCCAAATTCCAATCTAAAGGTGCAAAACCCGGGGCGGCCAAATCAGTAAATAGGGGGCGCGGCGGTCCTGATCAAAACCATGACCCACAAAAACAGAAGGCTGAGGAAGACAGAGAGAAAATTGTTAAGAACCAACAATCATGGTACGCAGATATGGCGTCATCGCAACCTAACACGGGTGACACTGAGAATTCTGAAGCCATAGAAGAAACCGAAAATTCCAGAGTTCAGGATGACGGTTTGCAGAAGGAAATCAACGAAGAAAGAACAGATCCTCTGCAAGATCGATCTAGCTATGACAAACACGAAAAAGACTCTAAAGTTGTGACGGACACTGCTAAAAGAAACAACGCACGGAGATCGGATAAAGACATCCTAGCCAAAGCAGAAAAACTAGAGAAGAGATATACAAATAATCGTGATAAAAAGAAACCTTCAAACGGACGCCCTGGTGGAGAGGCAGCCCCAGGACCCCAGACTACACAACCTTCC